AAGCTTTACTTAGTCTATTATGAAATGTTGCACTTTCAGAGCTTCTTTTTTTCCAATATACCCAAATGTGACTTAAAGTTAAAGGAATCAGTTTATTTTAATGATCTTTATAATGAATTACCTCTGAATTATTTATTTATATTTTTATATTTATATCTGTTGTGTCCTGGTGAAGTTTAGACATGCTCTGCTGTTTGTTCAGTTTGCAGTTTCTTCTAAACATATAAAAGTCTCACGACACTCTTAATATTATCTAAACCAGTGGTCCACAACCTTTTTCTAACTGCGGACCGGTCAATGTGAATCCACTGTGTACTCATATGGAACTTTATTAGCACATTGCTCCAACATTACAATGCTATTATAACATTAGGAAGTAATAACTTTATTAACACATTGCTCCAACAATATAACATATTATACCATCAGTACCGCTAAATCAATGGGAGCCCTGAGCTTGTTTCTTTGCAACGAGATGGTCCATAGAAGGAAGATTGCTGGAAAGAGGGCGTGCACGTCTAGAACGTGCTGAAGTGAGACGTCTGCTTTAGCCAATCAGAACAATCAGACGCATTCACGTCCGCGTGGTTTATGAGAATAAAAGCCTTTGAATATTTTTCCAGACACATTTAGCTGCTAGAAATTAGTCAGATGACGTTTATATGTTCACTTTTGTCAGGATCGGGGATAGAACCCGGGTCTCTGGCATGAGAGGTGAATGACTTCCCTACTGAGCTACTGGGAGATGAAGAACCCAGACGAAGAAAGGCAACTTGCTTCTCAGTGGAAATTTATTATTGACAAAAAAATCTTCAATAAGTGATAAAAGTAAAGAGAGGCAAAAAACAGAGTCCTCCAATATCCAAAAATACAAAACTCAAAAAGTAGGCAAAAAACACCTGAACAGTTGAACTCAACAAACACAAAAGATATAAGTCATTAAAGAGCTTAGAGTTATAATTAAGAGGCTTTACAAAAAGTAACTCACAGTGGTTGACAGGCTTGAATCCACAATAACTGAGCAAAGTACAGATGAAACTGAGGCTACTTAAATACAAGAAACTAAACAAGGCACATGTGAAAATCAATGACAATGATTACGGATACCAAATAGAAAACTACTAAATGACGACATCTAGTGGACAAAAAAAAGCATTACAGGAAAAGCTAAAATGACAAAGGGCAAAACCCTGACAGGGCCCCCCCCTCTAGGAACGGCTCCTGACGTTCTTGCCTAGGGACTTGACTTGTGGGACTTGTGAAAGTCTTGAATTAACTTAGGGTCCAAAATGTCCTTGGCAGGAACCCAGGAACGCTCCTCAGGGCCGTAACCTTCCCAGTCTACAAGATACTGCCGGGTTCTACGAACTTGGCGTACATCCAGAATCCGGCGGACTGTGTAGACTGGTTGGCCTCCAAAAGAACGAGGAGGGGGAGGTTTTTCTGTCACAGAGAAAGGAGAAGAAAGAACTGGTTTAAGTAATGAAACATGAAAGGTAGGGTTTATTTTTAAGGATTTGGGTAAGTATAGTTTATAAGTGACTGGGTTTACTTTCCTGGCAATTTTAAAAGGGCCGATGAACTTTTGGGAAAGTTTTCTTGAATCCACTCGAAGGGGAATATTCCTGGTTGACAGCCAAACTCTTTGGCCAGGACGAAGAGTTGGAGCTGGCCTGCGTCTGCGGTTAGCCTGATGTTTGTATTGTTGAGAAACCTTGAGGAGCTTAAGACGGGCCTTTCTCCAGGTTTGACGACAGCGTCTAACGAACTGGAGAGCTGAGGGAACTGCAACTTCAACTTCCTGTTCAGGAAATAGTGGCGGGGGAAAACCAAATTGGCACTCGAAAGGGGACATACCAGTTGCCGAAGAACGGAGGGTGTTATGCGCATATTCGGCCCATATGATGAAGCGAGACCATGCAGTAGGGTTATTAGCAGCCATACATCTCAGTGTGGTCTCAAGGTCCTGATTAAGTCTCTCAGTTTGACCATTCGACTCAGGGTGGAAACCTGAAGATAGACTTGCAGTGGCCCCTATGGATTGACAAAAGGCTTGCCAGAATCTGGAGGAGAATTGAGGTCCTCGATCAGAGACAACATCCAGGGGAATACCAAAGACTCGAAACACATGGTTGATGACTAATTCAGCTGTCTCTTTAGCAGTGGGGAGTTTGGACAGGGGAATGAATCTTGCAGCTTTGGAAAATCTGTCCACGATGACTAATATAGTGGTGTTTCCCTGGGATGAAGGAAGTCCTGTGATAAAGTCCATGGATATATGTGACCAGGGCCTGTGGGGTATGGAAAGTGGATGCAGAAGTCCCTGAGGTGCACAATGGGAACTTTTGTTCTGGTTGCAGGTGGGGCATGCTTTGACGTACATGGTGACATCTCTTTTAATGGTTGGCCACCAGAACCGTCTCTGCAGAAACTCGAGAGTGCGGACAGACCCTGGGTGGCAAGTAAGTTGTGATGAATGTCCCCATTGGAGGACTTTGGAGCGAACAACTTTGGGGACATACAGACTGTCAGTAGGACCTCCACCTGGGTCGGGATCTTTAGTTTGGGCTTTCCTTACAAGACCCTCCAGATCCCACCTAATGGGGGCAATGATCTTAGAGCTGGGGACAATAGATTTCTTGCAGTCTTCAATAATGGATTTTGCATATGCTCGGGACAAGGCGTCTGGTTTTAGGTTTTTTGAACCAGGGCGGTAGGTGAGAGTAAAATGAAAACGGTTGAAAAATAAGGACCACCTGGCTTGTCGGGGGTTGAGTCGCTTCGCCTGCTGAACATATTCAAGATTTTTATGGTCAGTGAGAACTTGAAAGGGGTGTTTGGCTCCCTCAAGCCAGTGTCTCCATTCCTCGAGAGCTAGCTTCACTGCCAGTAACTCCCTATCACCCACGTGGTAGTTTCTCTCAGTGGGAGTTAAACGATGAGAGAGGAATGCGCATGGGTGAAGTTTGTTATCCTCACCTCTCTGAGACAACACTGCTCCAATGCCCACATCGGAAGCATCAACCTCCACCATGAAAGGTTTGTCAGGGTTCGGAATGAGGAGGATAGGGGCTGATGTGAAGCGCTTTTTTAGCTTGATAAAAGCCTCTTCAGCTTCGGGTCCCCAATGAAACCCAGCACCATTCTCCTTGGTGAGGGCGGATAATGGGGCTGCCACAGTACTGAAATTCAGAATGAATTTCCTATAAAAATTGGCAAAACCAAGGAATCGTTGCACCTCTTTGACCGATGAGGGGGAAGGCCAGTCCACCATAGCTTGGATCTTTTGCGGATCCATCTGGATTTGTCCGGGCTTGATGATAAATCCAAGGAATTTGACTTGGGTTACATGGAACTGGCATTTCTCGGGTTTAACATATAGGTGGTTGTTAAGAAGACGTTGGAGGACCTTGCGGACGTGAAATATATGTTCTTGGAGGGAGCTTGAGAAAATAAGGATGTCATCTAGGTAGACAAATACAAACTTATTCAGCATGTCTCGAAGAACATCATTGATGAGGGCTTGAAACACTGCAGGAGCATTGGTAAGACCAAAGGGCATCACTAGATATTCATAGTGCCCTGTGGGCGTGTTGAAAGCGGTCTTCCACTCATCTCCCTGTTTGATGCGCACAAGGTGGTAAGCATTGCGCAGATCAAGTTTAGTGAAAATAGAAGCCTCTTGTAGGATCTCAAAAGCAGTGGACATGAGTGGCAAGGGATAGCGGTTGCGGATGGTGATTTTATTAAGCCCCCTGTAATCTATGCATGGGCGCAGACCACCATCCTTTTTTCCAACAAAGAAAAACCCTGCGCCTGCAGGAGAGGTGGATTGTCGGATGATTCCTGCTGCGAGGGATTCCTCGATATAACTTTCCATGGCAGTACGCTCAGGAAGGGACAAGGAAAAAATACTGCCTCTTGGGGGGCAGGAGTCTGGAAGTAGCTCGATGGCGCAATCATATGGACGGTGGGGCGGTAAGGAGGTAGCTCTCTTCTTGCTAAAGACAGCTTTGAGGTGGTGGTACTGGGCTGGAACTTGGGACAGATCCACGGGTTCTCGAGACTCGAAAATGGGGTTCAGAGGTTTCAGATTCAAACAGGTGTTTTGACAGGTAGGACTCCAGTCCAGAAGGGTTCCACTTACCCAGTCAATGTGGGGGTTATGCTGCAAAAGCCAGGGATGTCCGAGGATAACTGGAAACTCAGGTGACTGTATGAGGTGGAAACAGAGCTTCTCTTCATGTTGGTAGATGGAAAGAGACAAGTGAGAAGTAAGGTGAGTAACCTCTCCTGGAGCTAATGGTCTGCCATCCAGTGCTGTGACAGTGCTGTGACTGACAGTGGTTCTGGAAGAGAGTCAATGGGAATATTGAGGTCTTTTGCCAGGGTGATGTCCATGAAGTTTCCTGCAGCACCAGAGTCAATAAAGGCTTGAAGTTGGGATCTTTGGTCTGCCCAAGTGAGGGTGATGGGGAGGAACAAACCACATTTGGAAGGTGAGGTGCTGTAGGTAACTCCCGTTACAGTCCTTCCCTGCCTGTACGGGACTGAGCGTTTCCCGAAAGCTGGGGACAGGTGGAGCGAAAATGATCAGACAGACCACAATAGAGGCAACACCGCTCTCTCATGCGGCGGTCCCTCTCCGTAGGAGAAAGGCGAGTTCTGCCCAACTGCATTGGCTCGGGATTGTCTTGGTGTAACAGTACTGGGGAAGAGGAGGTTGGAGTGAACCCTTCGGTGGAAACAGTGGCGCGATAAAGATGTCTCTCCCTCAGTCGATTATCCAGTTTAATTGCTTGGTCTATTAGGGACTCGAGATCTAGGGCAGGTTCCCTGGTAGCCAAATCATCTTGAATAATCTCAGATAACCCGTTCTGAAAGCAGACCATAAGAGCTTCATCATTCCAGCCACTCCCTGCAGCCACTGTTCGAAATTGAATAGCATATTCTGCCACACTGCCAGTCCCTTGTCGAAGGGTGAGGAGTTTTTTAGAGGCTTGCCGGTCACTAAGGGGATGGTCAAAGACTCGCTTAAACTCCTGTTCAAACGCCATGTAGCTTGAGCAAAAGGGTGATTTAGCCTTCCATACTGCAGTGGCCCAGGAAAGGGCCTTACCGGACAACAGTGTGATCACATAGGCAATTTGGGCCCGATCTGATGGAAAAGATGAAGGCTGCAATTCAAAGGTGAGAGAACATTGGGTTAGGAAACCATCACACGCACTAGGATCACCTGAAAAGTGTCGTGGTGGAGGTAGACGAGGTTCCATCATGGGAGAGGGTGCTCGAGATTCTGACATAGGTGCTGGGGTGGTAATGGAGGCTGGAGTTGTGCAGGTTGGCAATCTGTCAAAAAGTTGGCGAACAGTAGTCATTAGTTCAGAAAGTACCTGAGAGTGTTTGGCCATCAGGGCCTCTTGCTGTACTAGGACATTCTCATGGCGTTGGACGGTTGACCCATGTTGAGCCACTGTGGCAAGTAGCTCCTGAGAACTGGGGCATTCTGGCTCCATGTTGTTGGCTCAGTTATTCTGTCAGGATCGGGGATAGAACCCGGGTCTCTGGCATGAGAGGTGAATGACTTCCCTACTGAGCTACTGGGAGATGAAGAACCCAGACGAAGAAAGGCAACTTGCTTCTCAGTGGAAATTTATTATTGACAAAAAAATCTTCAATAAGTGATAAAAGTAAAGAGAGGCAAAAAACAGAGTCCTCCAATATCCAAAAATACAAAACTCAAAAAGTAGGCAAAAAACACCTGAACAGTTGAACTCAACAAACACAAAAGATATAAGTCATTAAAGAGCTTAGAGTTATAATTAAGAGGCTTTACAAAAAGTAACTCACAGTGGTTGACAGGCTTGAATCCACAATAACTGAGCAAAGTACAGATGAAACTGAGGCTACTTAAATACAAGAAACTAAACAAGGCACATGTGAAAATCAATGACAATGATTACGGATACCAAATAGAAAACTACTAAATGACGACATCTAGTGGACAAAAAAAAGCATTACAGGAAAAGCTAAAATGACAAAGGGCAAAACCCTGACAACTTTAATGCCAACCGTATAAATAATTATCGATAAGATGCTTATGATAAGCCGTTGTTTGTTTACCTTCAAGCTTTGAATGGGAATGTTTAATACCCTAATATGACCCTACAGTGTTACTTTACTCATCACTATTGATCATTACAAATAATCCTGAATCAGTGTTGTTGAATGTCCCTCACATGACAAAAACAATCCAACTATGTGGAGGATCATTGAATAGCAGCACTTAATACATGACTTTAAGATGATCAAGTGTGTCTTCTTCCTCCTCACAGCAGACTTTACAGCTTGATGTGGTGTATTATGAACAATGTCTTTGCTCTGTACACTTCTACAGATGATGTCGAGTCCTTGTTGAGTGTGTGAGTGTGTGTGTGTGTTTGCTGATGCGAGGGCTGGATCAATAAGGAGAGCTGATCAGGATGTGTGTGTTCATCACTGCTGTTGACATGAGCAGAAACAGCAGTCAGCATCTTCACAACACAAAGAGATGTGTGATTGTCCAACTGTGTGATGTGGACTATTGCTGTGTTTGTAGATTGTCTGGCTGTATGGTGACAGAGGAAGGCTGTGGTTTTCTGTC